GTGCTGACAGCAAGCTGCTGCGATTAATATAATAAGTTGTCAATTTCTTCTTTACTGATTTATTTTGATCTGTCAATCACATTACCACGCGGCTCAATCAATCCTAAATTCACCATTTCGGACTTCACAATTTTTTATTTCTTTCTTTTCTTTTCTATTCTTTTCTTTTTGAGAGAGGAAACAAGGGGAGTATCGGCTTTGTTAGAGATGGTAGAACAGAATATACACTTCAAACTAAGCGGTCACATCACTGTTATAAACAGATGTCAAATGATTTGTATAACAGAAACATTGGAATAAACAGTTATTGCAACTATTTGTAAATATGGTTATGTATAGATACACATATATGTACACATAAGCATAGGTGCACATGAATATATATGCGCATACCCAAACATATACACATGCAAATATTTAGCATTTCCATTGTCTCTCATCTGGGTCATTCATGCTAATGCCAGATAATGCCATTACGGTTCTGTGTTTTGTTGATACTGGATCCAAGGAAACCACCATGAAGCCAAAGACTACAGTTCTCAGAGCCCCAAAGATGCTACTCATGTGCTGAAGGTTGTCCCTAACACGCGATTGGATCATCTGTGTGAGGTTACCCTTCCATTCTGCATTGATTCAAAGTTTCAACTCCAACGCCAAGTTGCTGTGTTGTAACATCAGCTTCCTTTTGGGAAAAGACTTTTTGGGGAGAACGTCGCATTGCTTGTCTTGAAATGACAATAGAGTTGACCATGCTTTACTATTAGAGTTGGTAACTCTTTGTCACATACATAGATAGGAACTGTAAATGACTGAGAAGAACCAAGACTGACAACAACAGAACTAAAGAGCTTAGCAACTACTGTTTACCTCCGACAGATGATGGAGCTCCCACCACACGCTGGGTACTTCATAGAGGGTATGGTTGCTGTGATACAGCATCAACCGCATGTGTGTCGCCCTACTTTGTCACAACTGTCTCAGAACACCAATGTCCTGAGTGAACACTGAATGATAGAGTTAAGACAATTTGGTTGTCCTAGGGGACACGATTGAGGACAGTAGCAGTTACTTAAAAGATATACTTTTCAGGCCATGGTTCTGATGAAGACAATGATCCAGCAGATGCCGTTTTTTCTACAGTGTGGGACGATGGCATGCAGGAGTTTAACTGGGAGGGGGACCAGTCTGATCACATATTTTACTTGGAAGACCGGGTTTGACGCGTAACTTTTTCACAGTGGAACTACCACCATCACATACCCTTGCAGCTGACTACCTAGGTGATGCTCAAAATGAGGGAATTACAGACACCTTCATTGATAACAGGTTCTTTTTTTGATGTAGGAAGGGAAACTATTGGCAACATTCTGAACATCCAGCACCGAATTGATACAGGAGATATAATAGTTTCTATAATTCAGTGTCATGTGCCACAAGCTACAAAATATGTAATCAGGGAACAATGCTCAGGGCTGGTATGATCAAACCATCAGCTTTGAAGAAACAGGGGAGAGCTCAGAGATTTTGTGTGAACTATTGCAAGTTCATTCATATTACTGTAGCAGACACATACCCATTGCCTCGCATTGATGAGTTATTACATGAGCTAAGTCCTTCTGACACCTTTACACATGATGCTAGAAAAGTCTATTGGAGCATAGACATTCATCCCTTGTTCCAGTTATGTCATTCTTTTGGCTTCAACACAGTTCGTAAATAAACTTTGTGTTACCTACAGTCTTTGGATGCCATACTGGCGCATGTGGACGAAGTAGTAAACTATTCTAGGGGTTACAAGCACACTAAAAGATTTCGAAGAAACTTTACAGCTGCTGATGCCTGCCGACCTAAAGCTGAATGCAGAGATGTGGGCCATCACCACTGCACCATCTCTCCTGATGGTGTTGCACCATATCATGAATAAGTAGTTACCATCACAGAGACACCAGCACTAAGAACTGTTAAAGTTTAATGTTTTCTTAGCATGATTCTTTTGGAAACACTGGTTATGCCAACATTGCCACCTCACTTTACCCAATACTGTTACATCTAGTTTCCCCAGTAGATGTAAATGAAATATCTGCAGAGAAACTTTGAGGAACAGCATAAGGATCCCAAGTTGAAGAATATATTGCGTTATCTACATGAAGGAACAGTGCCAATGACGAAACTACCGATACCTTTGCCAGACATCGAATTAAAGGATGGACTCCTATACCGTTTGCGGTACTTACTGTATAAAACTATCAGTCCCGTATCCCTCAGAAGTTACATGATTCAGCAGTACATACACCACCCCTGACTATGTACACAGGGATACACACAATGTATGAGAACTTCCATGCCATGTGCGACTAGCGTAATATGAATCAGGATCATGGGGAACGATGTCCTTCCTGCCAACATTCCAGGGAAGATACTCAGTGGGTGCCTATAGTAGAAGTGCCTGCTGCTCTCTGCCCTTTAGACTGAGTTTCAATGGATAATCTGGATGCAAGTG